AAATCAGAGAATATACAAACCCTAGAATTACCTTGATCTTCAGCATTTTTTTCATTTGGTGTCAAGTTAGTTAGATAGATCAGCCTGAATATATAACAATACAAACTGAATTATCTGAATCATTAATATCTTAGTTTTGCAGTGTTATCATCATGAAAATTACTTCAATAATATTTATTTTTACAATCGATACTACTTGTAAATGATATAAGTACCATTAATATTCTTTTAACATAAATATAAAGAGCTGTCAATTATAAAAGTTAAGTGAAAGGTAAACGTTTATTTCGTAAACGTCATTCAAAACTACTTTGATTTCCAAAGTTTTCAGGCAAAATAAATAAGAAGCAGACTAAACCATAGATGCGCACCACTGAAGAGTCCCACAATCGGGACGAAACGGTCGTCCAGTGCTTCCAGGTTTTCCATGGTGGTCTAGCTTCAATTGACTCACGCTTTAAACTATAAAAATACTAAATCTCCACAAAACCCCTTCTAAACCATATTGTTATATTTACTTGATTTTGGTTAGTATTTCAATTGAAGTTAAACACCAAACAGAATATCATTACAGTTACACAATTCTTTAATGTTTGTCATTAATTACAAAACTCATTATGTAATTTAATTATAAACATTTTTTTATGTATTAAGAAGATTCTATGAATAATTTAATGTTCACATCTCAACTTGTTTATGACTATTCTCTTCTTTTTGAATTAAACTAAATTTTGGAAAATTAATGTTTATTGTTGCTAGGTAGTAATAAATGTAAACTGGAGTAAAACAATATAAAAATATTACTGAACCATGATTAAATGGTCAAATTTTATGACAATATTAACAATTGCTGTTCCTGTAACAATGAAAACATGGTTTAGATCATAGGATTTCTTTTATTATGTGTAATTATCGTAAGACGATACACTCTATTCTCATATATACTATCTCCTAGAATTTGACTACATTATTTTGTTTTATTTGCTCCCTTTAGCGTGAATATGTGTGAGCAAACAACAAACTATACATAAAAATAAGCCTAAACTTGATGATATCACCACTCAAATGTTGAAATAATGGAACTTGTGTACTGGCTAAAATGCTGAATGATACCATAACAAATACCTAGTTCATAACTGACATTCAAACGGCTTATATAATCCTTTTTTGAATGACATTTGTGGCTAAGTGGCTTACGGAATAAAACCATAACATTTCAAGTATTTGTTACTGGGTTTAAACACCATTAGAAACATCAACATGTATTTATGTAGACTCAAACTACGAATCTCGAATAAGACAAAAACTTGCATCCTGAATCCTCCACTGTACAGTGTATTAACAAACGAGGACGGCGAAACTATAATTAATGGACGACCTTTGAACGAATCTTAAGTGACCTTGAGAAATATTAGCCAATCAGAAGACAGTTAGTATAGAGTAAAAATACATTATACGACACCAAAGAATTAGAGTGAGTACACTTCTTTCACATGGTTCAAAAGCTTGTTAAGGTTAGAAAGATGTTCAAATGATTTCAAAATAGTAGTGCACAAGGTAGACGAACTCATCCATATGACTCCATAATACTCGGTATCTGGAGACATGATGAGGTCACAAAAACTCTCAGCCTAGACCACATAGCTTCAATATTGTTTGTATGTACTCCGATTGTGTAAGTTTGTCGTTTTTATTACACTCACATCTCTGAACAGCCGAAACTTCAGTAACATCTGCGAATATTGCAGCCAATGTTACTGGTGCTTTTATTATACAGTTTACAGCAATTAATATAATTTTCCTTAGTCTCAATTTGGATCGAGAGAAAAAAGTTCCTATTCTGGCAGACTTCTCCTTCTAACATGTATTGCATCATAAGATAACATCATCAGAATAGTCTGCTCAAAGTCTACAAGTCAATTGATTACCACAATTACAAGTAAAATAACTTCTTAGTAGTCCTACTTATTGTAGCTGCTTAATTGTTACGTTTTCTCTAAAATCCTCTGTGAACCGATCGTACATGGTCATCAGGTACTGAAATTGGCGCTGTGACCTGTAAATCCCTCAGGCACTTCTGATTGGCTCGTCCATAAATTATAGTCTCGCCACGAGGACCTCTTTCGATAGATTAGCAAATAACTGAATTTGGTGATCAGTTAATCTGACTTTTAGGTTTAAAAGCAAAGTTATATATGGTTCAAATTTTTATTTATTATTTTAAATTACTGAATAAAAATAATACTGCTTAATTTAACGCTTGTTTAATAGAAATAAGTATCCGTATCAAACTGCAACATATGTAATTCACCAGCTATTGTACTTCACTGTATTTCTTTAAACCATTTTGCCAGCATAATTGTTTTCAAGGAAAGACATTAATCGACTAAGTTTTATAAAGTGTAACCGCTCAACTGTTTTAATGTTGTCGTTGGTCAGTACGGTACATTCTATTATAAAATCAAAAATTACACATTACTGTAAACGTGTTTACAATTTCATATAATTTATCAAGGGGAACCTAAAGAACTATAAGTAGCAGAAATAGACTTCATAAATTTTTCATCATCATGTGATATTATAGTGACCAGTATATATTAATAGATAAATGTAGATGTATGTAGTTGGGATTTGATATACCTATCATATATCTTTCTTACATTAATAAATGATAGCTGGGGTAAGGTATTCTTGTTGCTAAAAACGAACAGTATGACGTTGCTAAAAGATTTTGACAGAAATGCCATAAATGTTTATTTAGTGATCAATTGATTTCTTTCAAATAAACAAAAGTATTTCTTTCAAAAAAATCATAACAATTTATCTTTAACAATAATAATGACGGTGTAATGAACACGTTGAATAAATTAGTTTACAACTGATAAATGAAGTAAACTTTACATTTTAATCGAAATTTAGTAAGATAAAATGCGGTTAAAGGCGAAACGAAGGCATTTTATACGACTCTGAAAGAAAATAAATATCCAGAGAAATTTATAAATAAACGTTTAACCAATAAAAAAGAGCTTATAGAATGCCTAACTGTGAGTAAACAGCTTCTGTATATACAATTACAATTCAGAGGTGATGAACGTAGTGAAATGCTAAAACTGAAGTTACTCAGATCAATTCAAAAAACTTTTAATACATATCCAATAGTCACTCCGAGGTTAAAAGACAATTTGTCTAGACTAGCCACTTCTTTTTGTATCTATCAATTCAACTGCAGCTCTAGAGCAAGTTATTTGACAGATGTTCTAGGAATTTGTATATTTGGGCTCGTGATCACCCCCCAAGTGCGGATAAAACTGTTAACAGCTCCGCTTTCCACTATGTGTTTGATCTTTACACAATGTTGTATAAATACTGTTCTAAATAACGTTAGTTGAATGTGTTTAGCATGACGTTCAGTTATCCGTATTGAATACTATTGATTCATTTATTTGGTGCTAAATTGTGGACAAAAGTAAGATAATTTATCATTATTATTATTATTAGGTGTTAGTAATTAGTTTATTTAACGTTGAATAGTAATATTCATTTATTTAGTACTCTAGATCATGAACAAATTTTGCCGAAGTTCAATTGAATTTAACCTGACTTATAAGAAAACATAAAAAAAATTTATATAATCCTAATTTACTAATGTCTTAATTCAGTACACAACTTACTTCAAAAAATATTATACCCAGTTGCCAGACATTAGTAATTAAATTCATGTAATCACTAAACAAACTATTCAGGTCTGAATTAATGAATCTATGTATGTATATAATCATGGATGTTAATAATTACCATAACACTCAAGTTACTGATTTAATTCCATTCTAAAATGATGCATCCGATGAGTTAATATAATAGTACAAACGTACACATAAGTGTAAATCACTTGCTTTTACTACAAAATTTCTCATCACTTGATTGATAATGACTACTCTAACTGAATGTCCTGATTACTCACCCTTACTTCACCAAGTTTTACGATGAAGCATATCTTTCCATGTAAAAGATTGACGAAAATTTCATGACAGACAAACCGAACTTTTGTTGCTATGACAATTTCGCATATATATATATATATATAATGGACTTGTACCATTCTATTGGTTTTTTTCGAGATTGAATTAATTACACTTTTTCTGCACTTTAATAAGTGACAAAAGTGCACCGAAACAGTAACATAAAAACATATCAACATACTTGCACAAGTTGACCATATTTTCACAGTAAAATCCGAGATGAAGTTATTGTTTTACAACTCTTTAACTGTTAGTACCGCATCTCACTGCTGACGCTCACCGTGAAACTAAGTTCCAGTATCCGTCAGATCAAACACAAAAAAGTTTTTTTCAAAAGATGTTACGCCTAGTTTGCTTTTAAAAATTTCAAATTTAGGAAGTCTGGAAGTTTTGAGGCATCTTTTCAAGGACCTTATATGGTAGTAGAAAGTGATTGACAAAAAGTCGAATATCAACAATGGTAAAATATTAACTCACACAATGTACTATGAATACCATACTTTTTAAATAATTTGGTAGCTTCGGTAGTTCAACAGCTCAGTAAGTAGATAACGCCTTGTTCTTTTTAATGTGAGCATCGAGTCAAGGTTTTAATGTGAACATTAAAACGAATGCAATCAAATCCAGTCAATCAGCCAGAAATAGGATGAACAACTCATACTGGATTTCACAATTCATCATAAGGGTACCTTAAAATGTACCGATTTAAAGAATAACAAAATGTTAGTAACTTAAGAGAGAGTATCTTGTGTAAAAAGATGCTTAAAAAGATGTCCTAAAATAAATCTTTTGTGTTTAGTCTATTCCTTAAGTTTCAAGGATAACATACAATTATCTATATTTTCTAAGACAACTGAAAAGTAGTCAGTATAGATTCCAGCTGAAAACCATTAAATGTTTCTACACTGAAGTTTGCTAAAATGTCGAAACAGTCTGTTGAAAGAAACCCCTGGTTGTATTTCACTTGGTATACATATCGGTCATACGATACCTAATCAGTGAAGTTCCGTTGTAACCTGATTGGCAGCTGAGATAAATGAAAGAAAGAGTTGATCTATTCATTTATTCAAATACACCACTCGTTATATTATATTTTATGCTACCATTAACACTCTGTTTGTTTGCACATGCAAATTACTTAGCTTATCTATGTTACCATAGTGATATTACATGTTGTATAAATAATGCTTGGTTTAAATGCAAAATAGACAGACAGATAAGATGCTTACCCAAAGTTCAATATCAAAAACATTTCTCTGGTGCTCATCATTATTTTTTTAACAGTAAACCATATTGTACCAAGATATATCAGTGTTATAAATAAAAATATTTAAATTATTGTGAACTATAATTTTTTATTATAGAATGTTTGACAACTGCATAAAAATTCTTATTATCTTATTAAGTTTATTTACTAATTTTGAGTCTGTCAACGGATTTTCAACAAAATTACGAAGTTGGGATGATGTTTATGGTTACAACGCTATATGGAATTCACCGGGGGAAAAGGAATATACACTGAATGAAAGAACTGTAAACAATAATACATCTAAATACATTCAAAGTAAAAATAAACAAACAAAGCTGAAAAATCAAGGTTTTGCTGATAATCTAATGCTAATCGATGGTGCGTCAAAAAATGAAGGTACTGTATTAGTTAATCGGCACGGCAAATGGGGTACAATATGCGACGATAACTGGACATTAAAAGAGGCAAATGTAATATGTCGTATGCTAGGTTTTCCACATGCTTTACAAGCTACAACAAGAGATTATTTTTTTTCTAATAGCGAATGTAAGTTTATTTAAGATTTTATTCAAACTTTACTGAAGTATATTCTGATTAAACGATTCCTTTACAACGATGATTTTTAATTGTTTACATAATTTCATCTAGTTATCTAATAAGAAAAAGTATGTAAATAGATGATTTCAGCGGATGCCTTAAGTTGAATTGTTCCCAAAAAAATGAAATTCAAATAGTTTTCCTAATAACATGATTGACCATAAATAACTAAAAGTTGGATCATTTGACACATTAATCTCATACAGATATTGATTTTACACAAACTTTATAATTAAATACAGTGATTAAAATTACCCTTTCATTAATTTTATTTAGTTGAGATCATGAGTTAATTGAATCTAGACCACCATAGAAAACCTGGAAGCATTGGATGGCCGTTTTGTCCCACTGTGAGACTCCTTATCAGTGCGCATCCACGATCCCGCCCCTCAAGATTCGAACCCAGGACCTATCAGTCTCGCGCACGAGCGCTTTGTCATTGGACCACTGAGCCGGCATCTGGCGGTGTTAATGTCTGTCTTCAATTAATCCACGAAATCGATCAACCATTCACAATGTCTTCAGTGTTTTGATGTCTCCCAACAGACCTGGTTGAACTGCTTCTCAATAGAACTCAAGGCAATCCCTTATGGGTCCAGTCACTAGTGAGCACATGGTCATTATCCTCAGCGCACTACTGAGGAGTCCCACAACAGGACGAAACGGCTGTCCAATGCTTCCAGGTTTTCCATGGTGGTCTAGCTTCAATTGACTCATGATCTCAACTATCTAACATTTTATTCATGCCAATATATTTCACAGACTTCATTAAATATAGATAGCCATTTCATTTTTAGAATACTGATTATATATTGATAAAATATTTCATGAGAATTTTACTTTCAGTAAAACTTCTAAATGATTATTGACTAAAAAACAACTAAGAAAATTTCGTTAAAGTGGTTAATTTAAATGAATTAGCCTTGTATTAAAATATTCAAAGCAATAATGTGCTCAAAGGGTTTCAAGTAAGAAAAGCTGTGAATAAAAAAAAACGAAGATTGATATGTACAAACAGATTTTATATCTTCCTAGAGAAAAATATCTGTTTAATTAAATCTTTATATTCACCATTTGAAAAAGGAGTAAATTTTGATTACAAAATAATCTATAGCAAATGTTTTATGAAAAATTTAAAGTTAATTGCGTTGTATAAACTAAAGTTTTTTTGAATTCACTTGAGATTGTTTGTTTGTATCTTCCCATTGATTTTTAGCACTACAATTGGCATATGTACATACTGTAAGTATTGCCTCGATATTGCCTTAATTCACAAGCATTATAAGCAAAGATGGACTCATTAGCTGAGTGGATAATGCGATGGCATTTGAAGCGAAAGGTACTGGGTTCGAGTCCCGGAGTGAACATCAACTCTGAGATGAAGGTGCATCCAGCTGACGAGTCCCGAATAGGACGAAACACTAATCCTAGATTCCACTGCTAGTCACTGTTCATCTTTGCTTACAAAGTCTTGTTTTATTTATTCTTTCTAGGAAATTAACCCAACTAACACAACAAAATATCCGTCTATTAAGCAGTACGAAAATATTGGAATTCTCTTAGCTTAACATTTATATATTTGGTTTTACAATAGACAAATGTCTAAATATAAATGATACCATATTTTAGTTCAGTTAAATGTAATGAAACGTACTGGCTACTTAATTTTTCATTACAGTATCGGATATTTACTCTTGTCAAACTAAATTATTATTTATAAGCAAAGATAGATAGTCGATAGCAGTGGAATCCAGGAAGAGCGTTTCTTCCTATCTGAAACTCATCAGCTGGATGTACCTGCATCTCAGAGTTGATGTTCACTCTGGAACTCGAACCCAGTACCATTGGCTTCAAACGCCATCACGTTATCCGCTTAGCTACTGAATCCTGATAGTCACTTGCTTGTGCTAATGGGGTGAAGTTTAAGTTCACTTGGGAAGATACAAGTAAACAACACCAAGTGAATTTAAATTATTATTTATTTTTGAAGAGAATAAGAACGAAGATTTAGGTAGAATAATGTTGATTCATTTTATTTCGTTTGGTTCTCGTCAGCCGTTTACGACCTGTGATATTCAAAACATTATTACGAGATGGGTTTAAATTACTTACATGAAAGAATTTGGTCGGTAGTTACTTTGAAGGCACTTCAGTATAGCATAGTAATGATGTATATAAATTTAATAGATCGAATATTGTCAATATATATCTTATGTAAAAAAACATTCTACAACATTGATAGTAGCCAATGCCCAAAGGTCTAGAAACAAGTGATTACGTAATAAGCAAAAGGTGATAATAAGAATAAAACGAGTAAAGTTAAGTTAATTAAAATAAGATTACTAATCTAGAAGGAAGTCGAAATAAAATGACTAAATAATGTAGTTAGTTGGAAGAAAGATCTTATGATGTCATACAGGAATATTTGTCACCAAACCAAGGGAAGATTAACAATTGTCTCTTTTTGAATATATAAATCAAGTTTTTGACTCCTGGTAGCAACGGCTTCAGCAAATTTCAGAAGACTGGAGCTCGGCTGTTTATTAATCACCTTGAAAGATTGTATGGTATCGAACTGATGTCCTTCATCAAGCAGATGTTTAGTAATTACGTTGTTTTAAGCAGTTGGACTCAGTGGTTCAGGAGTATAGGGCTCACTATGAGACGATAGATAGACTGATAGACTTGATTACGCTTAGGTTAGTCATTATATATAACTTAGTTGTTTCGTGCTGATGAAAACTGTCACTTAATATTTGCCTTTCAATGGTCTTATAAATGGCTCAGCATCTTTACCAAATGTATCTCCCGGTACTTCTGATCTCTACAAACCAACCAACTACTACAATGTTCTATGGTTTTACGTTGTGGGGTAATTTTAGACAGTCACTGAGAACAGCAAACAGTGAATAGCTACGTAGTCTTTTTGTGGAACTCCCCAGAAGCGTTTATGCGCCACCTCATCAGGAGTCTGATCCGGCATCTTCAGACTTTACAGCGAGCTCTGGACAATCAGAGCACTATGTTCTCATCCAGTGGTTGTCTAAGTTCAGTCCCTGATGTAAAAGTATAAAAATTCAATAGTCTCCTTAATAACCTATGCTAATATAATCTTTTTTAAATAAATATGTATTCATAATGTATAACGAAAAATAGGTCGTAGAAAACCTGCGTCTCAATACTATATAAAATACAAAGTTATACTATCGATAATTAGGTTGCTTAGTGTCTTACGACAGCTCTAATCGGTAGTCCTATGTCATTTGTGATGTCTGGAAATCTAAGCTATTTCAAATAATATGGTTACTAACATCTCCACTTGCCGTATCCTTGAAATATATGTAGATAAGTGATATGAACTTTCTATTAATTACAGTTCAGTCCTTTTCAGACATATATAATGATTTCTTACAAGACAAATAACGTTGTCAATCAATCACCTCAAAATTTATTAATTTCATAGCAGTATTATTTATTCAAAGTTTATTTTTTGCTACTTTTTCCTTTGGATCTACCTACACTTACTTAGCAATTATTGTTTGTCGGCCTTGAAAATATCCTTTATGTCACTTTTCATATAAGCTTATCGATATTTCTGCTTAGTTTCTGACATTTTTTGATAATGGTGAATGAAGAATTCTGTTGATCTACTTAACTAATTTTCGTTGGAGTCTAAAAAACGAGTACTTTTAGCCAGCTAACTAACATTTGAATAAGAATTGTTAATGGAAACAAATGTCGAAAACACATACCATATCTACAAAGGCTGCTAGTGATTCATTAAAAAGAAATACAATTTATTACAAGAACTCATGGTCATAATCTGAACAGTTTTCAATGAGCACACAATTTTCTATCCACTTAGCTTATCTGTTTAACTGTTGATTGGATAGACGTTTCATGTAACCGAACTCAATAAACCATTTCCATCAACAAACACGAATTCAGATTATTTTGAACGCTCTGTTAGAAAAAAAGACCCATATAATTATTTTGATAAGAAGTTAAACACTAACTAATAAAGGTTAATTAAAAGTGAAGAGAGAAATACTACACTAATTTAAGAACAAAGGGGCAATACGAAATTAAAATGTTTGGTAGTGAAAAAGGGAGGAATAATAAAATATCTACAAGATGGGTTGATGGAAAAAATAGTGGGAGTGGTTGTACGAAATGTTTATGTATGTACTGGTCCACTTTGTTTAAGCGAACATTACTGACTTTGAACATGTCCAAAAGTTGTACAGATAAACCATGAGGTAAATTTAGTAAAACGATAGATCATTCGAAAGGTTTTATTGTTGTCCGATTGAAATCTTATCTCGATTAATTAGACAGATATGGAGCCCTTGATCAAACTTAATTGTTCTTTGGTTATATTAGTAGAACAGTGCTTCCCAATTCAATAATAATCTCACCTTTTGTTGGGAATTTTAGGACTGAGTGGATCTTGAGCTCTTCTGGCATGGTAATGTGAATGACTCTTGAGAAAAATTAAGTACATAAAAAAGGGAATGTGAAAATGTTCATCACTGAGATTTTTTGAATCACTGAAAAATAAATATCAAATACCCATCAAACAAAAATCTAAACTCTGAGTAGGTCACGGTACCGAAATCTCATTGAGAACTGAACTTACTGGGCTCGATTGTATATGGAGTCATTAGTGAGCATACCTGAAATGCTCCAAATTAACACAAAATGACTGTTTAGTGTTGATCGATTTTCAGTATTTCTCTAGTCAGTCTTAGTAGGTACCGGAAACTATCACTGTATCTTAATCGAAGTAAAAAGGTATGAGAGAAGTTGAAGTATTTTAGTACCAACTAAAAAATTTTCAGTGAATAAACGCCATCATTGATTATAGACAATGAAGTGATCCCTAATTTCTTTTGTTAAGTGTTAATATTTATTATACTTTCCAGGAAAGGTGTTAGTATGATCAACTAAGTTAATTTGATTTAGCGCCCTTCTTTTCATTGATTATTTGATAGTTGCAGTAATATCTATTTACATACGATCGCATATTTCTTATTTCGCTTGTTAGATGATTATTTAATGGATGATGTCTACTGTAAAGGAAGTGAATCCTATTTAGATGAATGTGTTTATTGGACAGAACATGATTGTTTAAAACGAGAGGAAGCTGGTGTTATTTGTCTTAATCCTGAACCAATTAAATGGCAATATAATGTTAGGAATCCTCAAATTGAAAAATTGTCTAATACTGATATTAAAAGGATGAAACAGGTCAGTGAAAATTACGCTAGCAATCTATAATCTGTACTGGAATTTTAAACATTTAGCGCTGTTTACATTTTTATGTTTTATGAGCGTTTATAAACAGTCATAAATCTGCTTTGACATTTATAAAAAGTCGTATAACACAGTCATGATTTTATAATTATTGAGACTTGATGTTAACTTTACGACGGCACACTGGTTATGTTATCTCATTGAATAATGGAAGGTTTTCAACTGTATTGTCGAATTACTGATCGCTTACCGTAATATATTTTAACATGCCGCAAAACTCTCTAATTATATAAGGTAACGGTCCCAGTAACCTAGTTCTTCTAAATAACCCTCGATTGTTTCCATTTATAACTAATTAATGTCTATTTATTCGTACAATTGATTAGAACAACCACCACGTAAAATCACAGTAATGTCTTAGATAGCTGATAAACTTATTTGTATGCTAACAAAAAACAAGTGAAATATTACTAGTCTTACGGTAAATACAACCGTTTCTCTTCAAAAAATGAGTCTCTACAGTCAGAAAATAAAAATGTTTCTTCTGTTTGACCGTACCAATTAACACAAACCAGTATAGGAATAATATCCTATCAGGTCATACTGAAGATTACGTAATCGTCTCCAGTGATAATAAATCTTAATGTTACCTATATCTGTACATCGATGAGTTATTGTAGGCCTTCACTATAATATTTAATATTTCTTTGAATTTACAAGATCATTGCAATTAAACTGAAATTGATTATTTGCTACAAAATTCTAGAGACCCCAACATTATTTGTTCCTCAGTGCGAATGTTTCGAAAGACTCTCAAATTATCTAACAACATGCTTGCTTTTTTCAACTCTTAAATAATTAGTGATGGTGCTTGTTAAATATTCTTTTTTACCTAATCTAAACTATAAAAAATTAGCGCATATAGCTCTACTATAAATGAGTCGTATTGTATCTTACATTTCCTTTGATTCGTTAGGTAACAGTTACACTGAGAAGCACACACAGTTTTAATAGCTGCGATCCAGCTTATTAAAGCACTTTCCATCCTAAAACCTGCTTTCTATAAATATTCGGTTAATTGGAAAATAGCTAGTTTCTTGAAACAAAGTAATCATAATTTATCTAAATGTACATTATTAATACTGTAATAACTGCATTACATATTACCATAAAACAGCAATCATTCGTAGTTTAGGTGTTCTTCAATTGAGCTTGCTGATAAGATAAAAATATAACAATTCTAGGCAGCACGACTTTACTGAATAGCAGTGATTGGTAAACTTAATCACCAAGTCATAGTAACAGATATCAGTCAGATAATTTTTGAATGGCTGGACTATGAAGTGGCATTGTGGCATATATATACTTAATTTCTGCCGATGATGTCGTTCATAAGAACTATGAAAGCTCCACTACCAAATCATCCAGCTCAGAGGACTAAAATCCACAAAAAGAACTACTTTGTACGTCATGAAATGATTTTAACTGTAGTACAGGATATGTTCTTTACGCAGACTTTCTATGTATTTATATAATTAGTTATTGTCATCTCTTGGCTACATCATGTATACAAAACGTGAAAAATTTAATGCTCAAATCATTTTTAAAGTGTGGTGCATTTTCTTACTGGTTAATGTGTAAAATAGTTAAGTATTCCACCAGCTCGAATTATCAAAATAGAAAACGCTATCATTAAAAGATAAACACTTTAATTCTCAATCACTTGTACCTAGCTTTACTGGAAAATGAATTCGAAGCTCCACATTACAAATATATTAGTATTATGAAGAAAAATAATGAGCAAAGTAAGATGGTATATCCTGTAACGCTAACATTGAACGAATTACGTTTTATTTTAAAGTGAACATCATTTTTATTGTATCCAAAGAAATTTTTCATTGATCCATGAAATTAGAACAAAATCTAGACTGATCAACCATGTTCATACTATTAACATAACATGCTATACTGTCACTTCATCATTCAACTGAATGATTACAATATACTTGTAAGGATGGCTCGTTGGCAAACTCTAGGAAGCCTCAAGAAGTCCAGAAAGAGCCGAAGACATTTCATCCAATCACTAGTAGGGGAATATTCTAGAATGTCAACGTGTAGCTTCCCTATTGGATGGATAAAAATGACCTCCTTTGTGCCTATTGGCTGTCCGCAATGATAATTTACTTTCAACCAAAAACTATAAATACATGAGATTTCTGTACTATATTTTGACACTGTTTGGGGAATAAAATTCCAACTTACTATTCTTTTGTCTTCTCTCTTGCGACGTTGCAAGTCCGATTGTTCAAGTAGACTAGTAGTACGCGGCATAGCAAGAATCAAAGCTCTAGATATAACAATACTACTAAGTCAAGAAACGATAACCAAAAATAACCACTACAATAACATAAAATTAACTATCCTTCTCAAAATACTTTTCACATAAGTGTTTTTTTCAATCATATAAAAAGTAATAAATAGGTGCATAAATTACTTGGATTTCAACAACAAACATTTCACAAGTTAATGTTAATGAACAAGACAGTTCAACAAACAATCTATTGTATGTAATAGTATTTATAGTCTAAATATCTCTATATAATGAAATGCTAAGTGTAAAATGAACGGATTAAAAAGTTTCTTTGATAACACAGATTTCTTTCTTCGTTACTTAGTGCAATTATGTTGTCGATAAAACTTAAAGTGTAGTGTTAGTGATATGAAAAAAAAGTGGATTTATAATTAAGAATTTTACCGCGGCTGAAATTTCCTCACGGTACATCAAATGAATAAACATACTCCTTTTTTTTTAAAGAAAAACAATATTTTCTTTCAATTATTGTACTGTCATGTGCTTTGACCAATACTTCAAAAAGGGTTGTACCTTTTTTTAAAATTATTAATTACGTAATATATATAAACAAGTCTGTGGATTATTTAGATTAAGTTGGAGGTTTTCTTATTACTTAAAAAAGATCATTAGCCGACCATTCAAAACTGTCAGTCATGAGAAGGTATATATATATATATATATATATATATATATATATATATCAATTAAGGAAATTTTTTAAAATTAGATAATATCATATATAGTTTAAAACCAATGTAGGAGTTATTAAAATTGAATGAAATACAATTTAAAAGTACAAGAAATGTAATACCACATGCTTCCAGAATTCTTAGTTGTAAATAACCATCTATTTTGAAAGATGTTTCGAGTTGTATAGTTATTATCTTATCTCAGGGAATCAAAAACTTAATTCTAGTGAATTCTACTGACAGTTCATTGTATCGCTAAATTGTGTGTAAATTCAGTTTTATTATCAACAGAAGAATTTCTTTAATTTTGTGTGAATCCACAGCATATAATTCCCTAACTTTTTTTTGAATTATGGCCAAATACAAAAAAAACTCAAAAATCCTTTCAATGTTCTTTTCATTATGCATAAAAAATCACCTAACTTTGCATTTCCAAAAATCAATGATCTTTAGTCGGGATTTATAGGAATGCCCCCAAATGCCCTGGTACGGCCGAGAGTGGGGATAGTCCTCTTTCCCTCGCCAAATGCTCTCACATATCCACGCGTATATAGCCCCCGCCAGGGAAGTCCTACTCACTGTCTTCTCGTGCAGAGGGTGTTGTTTACAAAATTGAGAGGACGAAAAGCGAATGTCGAGCTCTTTAACCGGGTTGGTGGACACGGTGAGTCCACCCAGGGAAGTTGGAAAACCCTGATTACAAACCAATGGTGTACGTGGGCTCCAGTATCCCGAGAGAACAAATGGCGTATGAAACAGTCGTTGGTCACCGGCTACCATGGGACTGCATCTCCTTACGATGCTCCGCTGCCTTGTGGATCAGACCTTTAAGTCGAAGGCTCCGGGTGTGTCCCGCTAAGAAAGCCACCTGGTTCAGTTTGAGCACCTGGGCTGTATCAAAACCCTCACACAAATCAAATGAGACTTGTGTGGCGCATACATATCTGTTGCCCCATTCTACCAATATTCATACGTTTAAATAATTAAAAATAAATAAATTTATAGAAATGATTCGATTATTTTGTTGAGTATACTTCAGGATAAATTATATTTACTTACATAATGATTGACAATGTGAAGTTTACTCAGGGCAGACGTTAGTATCAGTAACTGCTTTCCAAGCTAATAATTACATAATTTTGGTATGACAATTAGTCCAAACTACCGCTTACCGAGTCTAATATATAATATCAAGGAACTACTGAAATCCACTTATTCAACCATCAGTAGTTGTATAAAATTAAAGGTGAAACTATAGGTTGACAAATAATTGTATTTAATGAAGCTTTACATACTTGTCAGAGTAATCCCATCATACTTTTGAAAACTTAGTACATTATCTAATGAGCAATACCTTTGAATTACTAACACTTGTGGCGACTTGATTATCATTTCGACTTAAGACTCTACTAATGGTAAGAACAACTTTACACTTAACTAGTTTTATTCTTATTTAGTCAACAGTTATCATCTTTTCTAATGTTTGTTATATTTGGAAACACATATAATCACTTAAATGATAATACTTTGTAAATATTTATTCCTTTGAACATGATGCGCATAGTGAATGAACTATAAAGAAAGATGCTGTTTCTTTCGCATACACTTAATTAAACTTGCCTATATCATGTCTGAGAAGCAGGAGTGATTTGATCTATATTAAATTTTACATAATTGTATGATCATAGATGCAGAAAATAATATTTGGAAAATCTAGCACATCCTCTGTTTTTGGGAGTTACAAAATTCTGCAGAAATTGAGAAATCAACAGTGAATTGAATAAAATTCGACAGTTACCTAGGGAAAATTAATTTCCCTCCAGATTCATTAGTAGCAACCTATTCCTTTCTAGTTTTACAGCCTTGTCAGTTATTTTTGTTATATTCCCGTTTCCTTTTGATTGATATAATGTTTGTTAGTTGGACGATCATTATTCGTGTTGCTCTTCTGTGTGTTATCATTGTATTCTCATAACTGTTCAGTTATTATGTAACTGATATTTGACACTCAGTCTCTGGTAAATTTGTTAATGATATACTAAATATATACTGCATTTTATTATATGTTACTGTGTGTAAAACAACTATAAACTAGGCAGAACAGTTTAAGTAAATGGTACAAGTGCAAAGAAAGTTTTATTAGTTAAACTGCCTTTGTCATGCTTGAGGATATCACAAAAGGTTGTAGAATATTAAATGTTCTGAATAACAAAGGAGATTTCGTTATGTGAACGCAAATATTACCGGATTTTGAACGCATCGACCCAGCCTAGTATTTATCGCTTAGTAAGTAAAAACTAATGTTTGAGCTCTAAGCTTTCATATTTTGTAATACTCATGTACAAAATACTAATTTTTACACTTTTTTGGAACAATCAATTAATGAAATTAGTTCTAATGTTAAGACATCTTATATCCACTGTTGCTTCTTGTTAACAGAAATCAGTTCACTGGCTATGCGAGGTTGAATAAATGTCGAATCAGCAGGTAAAGGTATTAAGTTCGGAAAAAATTTAAACAATGGATCACATTACCGTCCTTGATAATTGACTCATTTGTAAATTTTTATTTCAATATCATACTACTATCAAGTAGTTAAAGTATGTTCAATGAAATGTTTGTGTAAGTGATGCCTTGATATTCCTATCTGAGCTTTAAAACATTTTGGTGATGTTGCGCTCACTCAGTTAGATGGCTTACTCATACAGTTTTTACTGTCACTCTATAGAATACCATCAACAGAAACTTAAAAATGAAGTGTAGACCTGATCAGAAACCAGTAAACATGAAATGTAAGCTCTTTTCCATCTCAGTTTATGTCTTATTGGATGTAGCGATTCATACTAGCTTGTCAGAAGGGAGCAAAATATAATTCCGAAGGACATATTTTCACTCCTTTTAAGAAGGACAGTTCTGAGTTGTGTCCGTAATCAAGTTTTATGAGTTATGATACTTCCGAAGACTTTATGAAGACACTGTTATCCAAAGCTTTTGGTAATGTCGTCGAAGGGATATAAAGTATAACCGTCACATGTTCTTTGGGGCTGTAGATACGTACTGCTGATGAGTACTAACATGTACTTAATACTCAGATGAATTCCAAAAACAATCAACTTATTAATATTTATCGATAAAATGCAACATCTCAAACCTAATTTATAGTGTATGATTGACAATTTATTAAAATTTAATTGGTTAAAAAGTTTTTCATCACTATCAAATCTTGTAGAACTCATGTATTATATTCAGTTCCTTAACAGTTTTCAAGAAATAGTTTCAATTCAGATGATTCAGTGATGTAAATCCTGTGAAGGGGATTGTTGTCAATCGGATTTTAGTGGAAGAAAAGTTATACAAGCATTATGAGAAGTAATACCAATCTTGCATTTAAGATAATCGATATGATCGAATTGAATTCACTGCGACCATGTTTGGTAAATAAATAACGACCTTTTATCAGTAACGGATTCCTGAAAATGCCTAAAATTAAGAACCCTCTCTTTTGTCATTCATCCATTAGAGGTCACTGGAAAACCAGTGCCAAAAGAACCACTATGTTCCCAAAAAGCTTTTATGAATAAATTTTTGTCGTCATTTTAAGCTATGAACTAACGTTCATTTTATCCCTAAATTTCTACTCTGTGCATTCTTCATTTTATAACTGATCAAAGAAGCATTTTTCTTATTGACTAATTGATTTTTTACCATGTTGCTATCCACCCAAAATTTATGGAAAGAGTAAATGCGGCTGTAACCAGCCAAGTCACATTTTTTATTAATAACCTGACTTTTTGATTAGCTGAAGTAAAAGAGAATCAAAGTTGTTAATGTTCAGTTAAACCGAGACGGTGAGAGGCTTTCAGTTTGTCTAAGTGAACTCACTATTTAAGAGGGTAGAGGAAAATGTGGATCCCTTAGAAGCTGAATTCTTACTGGAACAACAGCTTTAAGTAACTCAACCACCAATTAGCTGAGAAATCTTACCAGCTTTGTTTCGCTTTGTTCCCGCATCTTGAGCTCCACTCTTCGCTGACGTATTTCCATTAGTATAAAAGAAATAAACTGTTAGCTTAACTTTGAGGTATTCTGTATTTAACACCAATGTTATGGTTTACGTTGTGACGGGAGGTATTCAAGATCTGATACTGATACACGGTGTGCTACGCGCTAGCCACCAATTGACTACTTGGGTAAGGACACAAGAGTGAGTGAGAAAGTTTATTGAGCTACTGAATAAAGTGCACGAATACTCATTCATATATATACCACTTTATCCTTAGGGAATTGATACATTTCTTAGCCAATGAAACACACTTGTCCTATAGGTCATTTCTGATTTATTTCCAGTCTACTTAACCTTTTATTTTTATATATAAATGTTCTTAACAAGTACATGTGTGATCAGATTGTTCGAAATGTATTGCGCTAATATATCACATATATCACACATAATCTCCGTCTTCTTATCACATTATCGAAATTTATCAAAGGGACTAATTGCTTTGAATTTCTGATTATTATCGATTGACCTTCTCATCGGGCTACTTCTAATAGGCTCTCCTTATCAGTTTACTTCTAGTTGATTTTGTTCGCTATGACGTTTAACCTATCTTTGCACATTACAGTAAACCAGTAAAGCAGCTATCTACTCTATGCTTCAAATAATCCAATCTTCAAGTAAAAAATAACTTGTGGAAGTATTTATAAATAAGATAACACTTACTGGCAAGCATGCATATGACGCCATCTCTTGAGGAGGACATAACACCTGTTTGCAAAATCCCCATGTGTTTCAGGAAATACTTACATTAAACTTATGAACACGTTTATCTAACCGTACGTAAATATCTAAATAATATATTATGATACAGAGACGCCAATCATCACTTTGTTTACAATCAATTATTTGATCAAAGCTTTTAAAAACTTATTACCCATGCCTAGATTTTTAGAAATATTTTAGTTCAAAAATTTTGTTACTGAGTGCGGGCTATTTATTTGAAGATAATAATAATAATAATCGTAAATGAGATTATAAGAGTTAATAACTCAAATTTTATACTCCTGAATTTTTAATTTTAGCAAATATTTTGGTCTGAAATGGAAACATTTGAAAGCACTGGTCTTTTTATCGTCAAGGCCAGAGTTCCACAAGGTAGAAATCGACGAATGGCTATTGGAGCTATTTGTGTCGACCAGTTTCGTGGAGCTGAAGCGAATGTGGCATGTCGAAGCATAAATTATCCATTTGCTTCATCATATTCTTCAGTAAGTTAATTACCTCAAGCCTACACTTAGTTTATTTCTATTTATTTCATTGTAACTACTATTTCTAGGTCAGATTTATCATGAATTATGAGTAGTGAATTTGCAAATACTAAGGTACTGAATAACTACTTTATATCAGTTATTTAACTGCGATTCCAATACGAAAAAAATATATTAGCCAAACAATTTTTGTAAATAAAAAAGTATTGCAATACTGTTTTCTGGTTTTTCTAAACTTAATCATTTAACAGAAATCCACTATCTCAACGTCCTACAGGAGCTAAAAATCTTCAAACATATGTGGGGTTTAATTTATCCTACAGATATACTACTAGAACTGTAAACGCGATACTGGCGATCTCAGAGTCTGTGTGAAAGCTATATTCAGAACAAAGGCAACATAGCTTTAAACTTTATCAGTCTCGTAAAAATAACAGTTTGATTAGTACAATAATTTAAAGGAATTACAACCAATAAGTGGAACACACAAACATACTGACCAGTACTGCGTGTCTTATCGAAATGAATAAAAATATGAGCCACACTAATATGATAGGATAATAATGTCCTTCAATTAGCACGTTATATGCAACAGGAATAGTCAACAGACACATCAGACCAGATTAACGTGTTGGGAGCTTAAGCAACGATTTGATTGATTAGTTATGGACATAATTAACGACATCCACATCGTTTTTAATATTTCCAACTCATGATATTTGGGCAACTTTGAGACAAATGTCCGGGTTGCCTATATCAGGCTAAATTATCTTCAATCATTACAAACTTGAGAAGCTGATACCCAACTTTTAATTGACTGAGATTAAATATGTTACTCATTAGAGTATAGCCAAGAAGTCTATAATCTATAAGACTAGTAGCTTTGTTCACTGTAATGATAAACCGATTTAAAGTCTTTCAATATTTGTCAGGATATTTATTTCCCTGTTATTAACGATTAAGACTAACTTAAATCCATCTCTTTCAGAGTATAGGCTCCTTGAACTAACGGTAAGCATTTACAAGTTGTCATCAGAAATAAAATACATTAAATGAATTTCCTTCGGCTTGAGATACACTTGTACTGGTGTTGATATTTAAACTCTCATAACTCATAACTTCAAACTCCCAGGCGTTAATTCCTAGGCTACAGAATCGTAATACCCACTGACTTACTAAACTTCCGTGATATTAAGTAATCTCAGCATTCTTTATATCAGCCACAGTATAAATCTCCCACTCACTAATGTAATGATATGTTTCAAATTATCATCTTTTCACAAACTTTTTAAACGATAAAATTTCTACGGACTATAGACATGTAAATTTAATATTTAATCGATTGATCTGAAGTGAAGCCCATAGTGTACTAAATAGTGTAAATGTACTGATTTTGAAAATATCAGTCGATAATTTACGGACATTCGAAACTGTTATGTGCACATACAGTTGTCTTTATCAAGATGCTTTTTTTCTACGAACCATAATGTCTATCTTTGCAAAACAATAACACAATATTGACTGGAACAGAAGTTAAATATAGTTTCTTTTACTTTCTATGCACTGTTTATTCTTTATATAATCTCTTACATTTCTTAAGCTTTCTACAGAAGATATTTTTTCCAGGCTTTTCGTAAGTTTTTTTTTTTTTACATGTCAGTTGTTATCTCTCTTCAGTCAAAGTCTCTTGTAAAGGATTATTTATTTAGTACACCAACCCACTTATTATAATTGGCTAAATATATATTTAATATCATTTTGTGCGATGCCAGTGGTAGACCGAATGTGACAAAGCAGTTATGAAGGACTTAAATCACTGAAACAATAGTTCTTTAATTTAATGTTAACCTTACAGTGAAATTCATAAATTTTATAAAGTTTCTTCAGTTTTATGCTAAGCATATGATTCATCGCACTATTAATCCTTTGGTTCCAAAGATTATGACTCAGGAACAAATTTACTGACGCCCTTTATTAGATTTCCACAAAACCCCAAGAGTCTTGCAATCCTTTTATTACAACCTGATAAAGACACCATATTTCATTGTATACAGACCCAAAAGCGTTCTTTACTATATCTCATCAAGAACTTATTACCACTATTTACTGAATATATGTCCACTAACATTTATATTAGCACATAGTTTCATGCTTCATAGTTTAAATATAACAGATATTTGGCTGAGAAAAAATTTCATTCTTTCTGAAGCACAGATACTTTCCACCCCAAATTCACAGTCAAACAAAAAACAGGAACGAACTGATTAAATAAACTAATTTTAGTGTAAGACGACTCATTAAAACCTATTTGATATTGTCTGAATCGTAACAAAAGTTCTTTCATTTTATTATCGGTTTATTAAGCATTCACCTAGTGATAGTATTTCAGATTTAAAAATCATATGCTATGTAATTAGATTGTATATGATTTGATAAGTAATGATTTTCCTACATAAATCATTGAAGTCATAAAACGCTGTTTATTTTAAGGTTCCACTGAAAAACGTGAAGACTTTTACCATAGTTTATCCGCTTGTACGAATCGGGCATTGTTTTGGAAATGAATCAAAATTAGAAGATTGTGTTACATTCACTGATCCAAACGGAGTACCTTGTTCAAATAAGAGTTTGGGAATAGTAGTAAATTGTTCAACAGGTAAAATGGTAATTTTAAACTTAAATGATTATTTCGTTATTGATACTTATCATTTACAGTCGTTTGTATTGATTACTGTTGTTAATCCAATCATTCAGTATCAAACTCCAAAGTCAAAAGCAATGAAAATAGTTGACATCTTTACGCTCCCAAGTGTTTATGATAATTATTCTTATTTATCATGTAGGATGTTTGACAGAGATAGCTAATGAGCCAACAACTGAAGTTATACGTTAAGTGAATTACCTAAATAGAAACTAATACTATCTATGCAGAATATCAAACAGAACTTAAATTATGCTTTTTAGTTATACAAGTTTAGATATCTTCTTTAATGCTAAATCTCCAGAAAAACCCCTTCTGATAATAATAAAGTTTATTTTATCCCCCTCAATGAAATTGCCTTTCAGTTTAACAAGACAGACTAAAGTAATGACTTTTACAAGATTACCAGTATACTATTATTTCTTTGAGTCAGTAATGATAATTATTATCATTGTTTTGAATTTCAGTTACGTTGATGTTTTTTGTAAATTGTTTAGTCTTCTCTTTAATTATAAAATTTTCAACTGATAACTTAGGATGAATTAAGCATTAGGTAGACGATAATTTATAATCATGTATCTGTAAACTGTTAGTTAACGGCAAACGTAACTCCTTATAAGTAGAGATGAATGGTGGCTAACAATGAAATCCAAGACCCTAATTTCTTCTTAAATAAGATCCACCACCTGATTGTTCCTGTATCACAGAGTTAATGTTCATTCCTGGACTCGAACCCAGTGCTTTCTGTTCTAAACGTCATCGCGTTATCCATTCAGCTCCAGAGTACAGACTTGCTGAAACTATCAAGGCAATCCACACAGGATCCAAATATCCCGAAAGAGACTAATTGATTGCAGGCCTAAACACCAACAGGAAGATGCAAACAACCAATATATATTGATGTGCGGACAAGAATGATTGGTTGTTTGCTTAGTCAGACATGTAGGTAGTCTGACAGGTGTCAGATGAGTTATATATTTCCCTATCCTTATTATTTATTATTATTGACTGATTGTTCATTGGTGTTGGATTGTGTCGGGTTTTAGTGTGGAAATATACTTACGTTCTAGCTAGGCTAGTCACGAGTTCTTGATCTGAGTTGTGATGACGTCCTGTAGAATAGACACTGAGAGGGTATCTAGTGTAGATCTTCGTCTAATGCAAATTAGCATCGCATTCGTGTAGGCAAGGCAAACTGAACCTTATAACATATATGGATTAAAAACTACGCTCCTTATGTTTTACTACATAACCGTGATTCTATATTACACGTGCCTTTTGTGTATATATGTGGATGTGGATGAGTATGCAAATGAGTCATTTAATTTTTATGTATTTATTGTATGATCGTGAATAATTTGTTAGTGTTTTCTTACTACTTAATGAAATTTTGAACTATAGCCATAAATCAATGGTTTGATTTTATTTGTAAAAATAGTTTTAGCTGATTTAGAACCAGATGTCAAAGCATTGGAGTCTTCAGCTTACAGTAGTATGATTCCTCTATTTCAAGCACAGTGTGCTTTAGAAGAAAATTGCTTTCCTCCGAGTGTTTATAATTTGATTAACAGAAATCGACATTTAGCATTGATGCATATGCGTCGTTTACTGCGTTTTTCTTCAATTATACACAATGTTGGAACTGATGTCTTTCGTCCACATGAACCACCTGAACGATGGGTATGGCATGCATGCCATATGTAAGTTTGTCAAGTTAATTGTTAAAAAATGAGTTTGTATATGTTCATGCTCTAGTGGGTATCCAACGTAGTATCGAACTACCTATAAGTTTATAAGCTACAGATCAAAAAGATGGATTGTGGTTAGCAGTTAAATCCAGGACACACATTTTGTCCTAGTTGAGACCCATCAGCAGAATTTTCACGTACCACAGTTTCCATTACCATAGCCGAACCAAATCTCAGTATTTGCATCAACAAATATAAAACCTGAAATCCTACATACGTACAATTTCATACTAGTTGAATGAATTCGTGACCAGCTGGACCCAATGGTTTGATGAATAGGGTGTTGGACATTCGACGAAAAAGTTACCGGTTTCTAGACCCAAGATGGACAGAGACGATTGGATGTGGGCACTTCTGTCTGATTAATCCCAAACAGGACGAGGTGTGCGTCCTTGATTTCACTTCCACTCACAATCCATCCTTACCAAAACTTGAAAATATCCTATATATAATCAGTTTGATTTATTAAATTATAATTATTTTAAAATTACTATCTATCAACTCATTTATTGTTTGTCAATCAAAACTTTATTACTTCAACTGCTATTGTGAATGCTGGTTAGCCATCAACAAAGTTATCAGATGAATAAAAATAGATTAGTGACAGAACTATTTTAAAACGAATACAGATTTTCTAGCTAATAAGTGTAGGAATGTATTGTATAGTGAGTTACCAATAATCAATTTTACAAATGAATAATTAGTATTGTAACCAATAAATCATACATTTGATTTGATCAGCATATGTTATTCATAAAAATAAAAATGTTGAAATATAATATCCAATCATTCGGCTTTGAAATTACTTGTCAATAATAAAAAACCAAAATAAAAATCAGCGGTTCTCTAGTTACTAATTTTTAAAGGTAATTCCAGGAGTACTGGTGAGAAGCTATGATCAGTAGAGTTCATGCATGTCAATTGTGAGGTATTAAAAGATTATTACTCAGTTCTAACAATTGACGGAAGAAAGATGTGTAATAAACTGGATACTGGTTCAGTCCTTTAACGGTTGAATGCCAGCAGCAAGTCCTGAACTTCTTGTATTTAATCTCTGGTGCGGTTGTGGATGTTCAGTGATAAGAAGTCCCATACTAGGATAAAAACAGTTATCCAATCCTCTTTGGTTTTCAGTGGTAACCCAACTGTGACCTGTCTGTGGCGACTACAACCTACAGATTGGACCAGCCTTCACAAAACCCCTTCAACTAAAATAAAGATGAACTTACTTGAATAATATGTGACTTATCACTATTTCTCTCTCTTCTTTCTCTATATATAAAATAATCCGTTCTGAGAAGTGAAGTAGACTTATTTTTCGCAGTGTATTTACTTTTTCGAAAGCTTAAGTTTAGTTTGTCTTATATTCAATATGAGATTACAGTTTTTAAAACTTTACCTTCCATCTCAAGGACAAGCTCAAAATATTTACTGCAAGAACTTTTTTTCAGCTTTTACATACCACATTGTGACATGATATGTATATTTGTAAGTCAAGGAGAATATAATTTTAACATTGTATTTGTTTATTCTAAAATGATTTAACAAACTAACTTTTCTGTAGAGATGTTTCTTTCCTTAGAAGTTATGATTTCTAATTCAATGGATGAAAAAAAGTATTGCAATCATAATCAAAGATGGATAGTGGCTAGCAGTGGAATCCAGGACGCAAATTTCGTCCTGTTTGGGACTCGTCAGCTGGGTGTACCTTCATCTCAGAGTTGATATTCACTCTGGGACTCGAACCCAGTACCTTTCGCTTCAAACGCCATCGCGTTATCCACTCACCTACTCAGTCACAAATAGGACGAAAACGCGCGTCCTGGATTCCACTGCTAGCCACTATCCATTTTCGCTGATAATACTTATGAATTGAGGCTATATCGAGGCAATACGCACAGTATACGCATATGGCCAATTAGAGACTGACCATTTGCAGTCTTAAACATCAATGGGAAGATTCAAGCAAACAATACTAAGTGAATTTATTACAATCATAGTTTGATTTGTGGAAAACTTCAATCTGTGAACGATAAATAACTTATTTTGCAATATAGAAATATTTATTACAGAAAATTGTTTGGAAACAAAATTGCATAAACATAATAACAAACGATATGATACAAATATACAGTGTCACTCATAACATACTAATCCACTTCCTCATGGAAATATATCCAGGAGTGATTTTTCTCGATGAAAGAGGTATATGATAAGAATTCGAGTTAGCTAATCCCTTGAAATTTAACAAATTTAAGTTACTTATCAATAACTTTTTTAATAAATACATTCTATGTTCATTTTTAAATTTCATTTTAACAGAATAAGAATATGAACATTCATATAGAGAAAAGAAACTAAGTTCAATCAATCTACTTACATTAACGGTTATTGAAAACTAAATCAAATCATTTAGAAAATCAAAACATTAACATAATTTTTGTTTTACTGTTATCTCTATAATTTAAGTAAAATAGTTCAAAGTTCTATAACAAATCGAACTGATCATTGAGATATATAACAGTGATGATTAATTCAAAGTAAACATTGACAGGAAATTTTATTAATTTTTACAGGTCCTGAGTTCGAATGTCGCGAGGCGGGATCGTGGATGCGCAGTGCTGAGGAGTCCCACAACAGGACGAAACGGCCTTCCAGTGCTTCCAGGTTTTCAATGGTGGTCTAGCTTCAATTGATTCATGATCTCAACTGTTAAAAATACCATACTATCCACAAAATCCCTTCTGATTTTACAGTTTCCTCTAGTTTTTGCTATTTAATTGAGATTATTCTACCTTAAATTTCAAGATGGCTAAATCTTAGTAACTTCTATAAGAACTTTCGTTTAAATGTGATCGAATAGTTTCACAGTATTTGGTCGCTGAATTGATGTGAGACATTAAAGAGAAAGAATGTATTTGTAAAATCTCAAAGAATGTATTTACCAGGCAAAACGTTGGATTTACTTCAAGTTCATTCTTCCTCTTTAAATTTGGTAACTTCGTTCATTTTTTTTAACTCTCCAATTCAAAAGACACTTTTTTTCTAATTTTGGTAGGACAATTTGATTTTTATTCTCCAACATAATTAATTGAGCATTATTCCATATATCAAATCACTATGCTGTATGAAGGAATATTTTTATTAATACAATTAAAAAGTTTGATTTTAATCAGTTAATGTAGGCTAAATGCACAAGTAAAACTTAAATTTTTTCTAACCAGAAATATTTTAGTTCAGTATTAATTTGTTATCAGTTTTCAAATGTGGAGATTGTTGAAGTTTAGACCGCCATTTTAAATCTGGAAGCACTGGATACTAACAAAATTTTACCTATTTCCAACTAAAATAAACACACATTAGTGATTATACACCGATACGATTGAGTTTCAGAATTATGTTGAATAAATCATAAACTATTGGTATATTTATAAAAAATGAAAATAAACACCAAAGCAAGTGATTTAGTAAACTATTCAACAAATACATAATATTTTATTTATTTTACACACATAAATATTAGTATAAAGGGGCATCGAATACTGCCCGAACATCCAGACCGAACCCTCTGGTTTACTCAGGGGACCACAACCCAAGCCTTTGACCTACAATTCTAATCCACAAGGCAGTGGAACAACGTTAAGAGATGCACTCCCATGGTAACCGCTGACCACCTATAGGTTCATACGCCTTTTTTCCCTCAGGATACTGGAGCCCATGTGCACAATTGGTTTGGAATCAGGGTTTTCCAACTACCCTAGGTGAACCTTTCGAGTCCACCAACCCGGTTAAGGCTTTGGACATTCGCTTTACGTCCTTTCAATTTCGTAAAGAACACGCCTCCGCGAGAAGGCGGTGTGTAGAACTTTCCTGGTAGTGGTTGTATGCACGTAGCCATGTGAGAGCATTTTGAGAGAGAGAGACTCGCCCCACCAATATGAGGGTATGGATTATGGCCATCAATGGGTCCCACTGCTTATAATACTTGTGACTTAAGGCAATATAGAGGTGATCCGCACAGGATGCATATATACCAATAACTGATCAACTGCAGTCCTAAACATCAATGGAAAGATTAAAACAAACAATACAAAATGAATTTATTCAAAAATACTTTTCAAATAAATGAACAATATTGGCTTCCTTCGTAAATTTATTCTTGTCGTGTTTATGCATCTCTACTTAATTGTCATTTAATTTATTTTCTTCTTTCAGGCATTATCATAGTATGAAAGTATTCTCTTATTATAAAGTCATCAATGCAAAACAACAGCTTATGGCTGTTGGTCACAAAGCTAGTTTTTGTTTAGAAGATAATGCTTGTAAAAATGGATATAAAAAACATTTTGTTTGTTCAACTACATTAGTAACACGTGGGGATCAAGGTGAGTAGAGAAATGAAATTTTGTGAAGTCTATACAAAAAATATTGAAATGTTTACAGTACATTTGCATAGTTTTGATCGGATGCTTTAAAAGTCTTAATGGTATCTATTTATCTATATTTTTCTTAAAGGATTTATTCTTTCTGTCTCATTTTATTTAAAGATGTTTTTCAATCAATATAACAAGAATCGCTTCACTAGAATCGTAGGATTTTGATGTTTTATATGACCAGTACATTGATGAAACTACACAATTCATTATGTTTATATACTGAGTTTGAAAATTCATAATACGGTTTTTGATCGACTGTCACCACTTTTGAATTACACTACAATTGAGCTACCATCTCAACATACAGAAATATACGCCCAAGAAACTTTACATTCGACCACTACTATCGTACTGTACAGATATGAAAAAATGGTATTTGTAATGTACCGCATAAAATTGTTAGTCTTGCAAAATAGAACAATGTATAACCATAAAATCAACAGAACTCAGTAACTGAATGATATTTCCTAACAGAATCATGTTGTTTTGAGGAAGACTGAGAACTGGATAGCAAAGGACAATCATTTTATTATACATAATAATGTATAACAGTGACTTCATACAGGATTCCAGTATCACCACATTTGCATTTAAGACTTGATATCGACCGATAAGAAATAAATTTGATTAATAATCTACTTACCTTTATCTAGTAACTATGTTGTTTTTGTTCAATGATTTAACTAAACGACCTTTAGTTAAATGATATGACAGTAAAAAAATGGTATTAGATACACTTTAAAGTGTACTGAACATTTGTTTAATATGATAATTAACACTTAACTATAAACAATCAGCTAACTTTAGATTAGATAATAAGCCACATTTAAATCAACTACATTCTCATACCATATAGTTGGAAAAAAAGCATTAGAATCATCAATAAAATCATCCAATAAGAGATAGAATACAAAATCTACCTTCAACATTTGACACTGAAATAATCTACTTGAAAAGAGACTAGCTTTAACTATGTTGATCAAATTAACTTATTAGAGTAAAACTATAGAAGTATTTTGGTTGGAACGTTTTTTTCGCTGATAATTTGAATGTCAACAAATAAAAGCACCGATTACATATTTTTTTATCACTCAAATAATTTCTTTTACTTTTTTCCTTAAACTTTTAATTATCTCAGCAAATTTGTAACAACGTATAGGTATATGAGGTTGCTTGACAACAACGTTGCATATATATATACATATATACATATATATATATATATATATATATATATTACAGCTGTAAGAATATCTTGTTCAACTCACTTATGGCCTACCCCTCTTCATCGAATACGAGAAAAGACAAAGTGACTAAGAAGCTAAAAGTCAGTCATCATTATATACATATTAAACTATATGGAAATAATACATATGTGCAATCCAAAGTCAAACTGTTGTTTAGACTAAATTTTACATAGAATTCTTTCTATACTGATTAGATTTCAACAATTCTTTTAAATAAAAAGGCATAAATTTAACTGAGATTCTATCAACTACAAGTTATAACTTCTCATTACATTATGTATACAGTTTAAATGGACGTACTGGCTATAGAGATAGTGGCAATATAGAAATTTGAAACGTAGAACTTAGTCTAATCATTCATCAGTTTACAGTAAACTAAAGGATGAGAGTAGATCGTCCATTGGCCACCTCATTCACTAGTACTGAAAGATTAAAGAACAGCTATCACAATATTAGTGTAATCTGACTACTTAGAAGTAACTTTCAAAGTCTAGTTGAATTCACTTATATTTAAGTTAGACGCTCATATACGAATACACTAGTCGTTTTATTTTGCCCTAAAATTAAAAAGGTCATGCCTATTTTGTATACATTGCATATTTGATAATTTCCGCCAGAACAGATGAACTATGATTTAAAAAATAAAAGAAATTCATTTTACTCGTAAAATGTTTAAATTTACTACAAGTAATAGAATTTCCAAAAAATGACTTACATGTATTAATTAATGGGGTTGAAGTGAAATTAGTAAATTAAGGAAGCGAAATACATAATTTATTGAACCTGTTTTTGCCTAAGATTAGATTAATCAACAAGTACGCTGTTACTTTAGTGATTTCGAATCAACACTCTAAGCTATCATAAGTCTTGATCTTACAATTATTATTGTACATTAATATTTCAACCCGTTTTCATAAGTTATGACATTATAATGAATCTAATAGGTTGGTTCTAAAACCAAAAACTTGGCTTAATGAAGTAGTACGCAATTGCCTAGATCCACAAATATGAGCGCATAAGACAATGATCTGCCCATTTTAATTATACTGTTTGGACTAGAGGGTTTCTAGCCTACCTTAGAGTTCATTTAATCATATAATACTTTCGAGATCTACACAAATGTCCTGTAGTTTCCTTTCTATTCAACTACTTATGCCATTTTATTCTTTGTACCTTAAAAAAAGACACTAAATAACAAAAGAAATGCAACTTTTTAATTCATCTCTCCTAACTGGTCATAATAAGAACAAATCAATAGAACAATCTTGAACTTCTGTTATCTATTAGACTTTAAAATACTCGTTAATAAAACAATCCAGATTCTTTTACTCTTGACTAACAGTCAGAGTTTAGTGCTGTTTCTATGGTAAAACATATTACAAGACCTGTTCAGATTACTTTATTCCAACAAAATTCATCATAATCTAAATCCATTAGGAAAAAGTAGTAAGCTTGATGAGCCGTTATTGGTGTAGCCATTTTTCTTCAGGGTTTCTCAATATGAATCAGCATCACAATTAACTTACAGAACCTTTCGCTCGCAAATAATTAGCTGGCAAGTCATTGGAAGGAAGGTAGTTATCCGGCCTCGATATGTGATGAGAGTTGTGAACTATCGTGAACTGACTGTAGTTCAAAGATATAACCAGTTGAATTTTATTCCGCTAACTCAATGGTATCGTGCTGAAGGTCATGGTTTGATCCATCCGGGATAGGCATGAACAAACAAGGATTAGCAAACTGAGAAATAACTATTGAAGACCTGGTTTCGAATGGTTCTCTAACTGACGTTAATTTTTTTAACAGATGACATCGACTATACAAACACTGGAAAATACAAATCAATCAGTTTATGCCATCGATCTGACATTGTATTGTGGCAACTTGGGCTGACATACATTTGTCCCAAGCTCTGTGTTGATTACAAACGACTGGACATATCTTGAATGAAATCAATGCTAATGATATTGGTCTCCTGAAACATACCACAACCGCAAATTAGATTAGGGATTAGTAGTAGTTTATACTGCAGTTGTTGAATTAATATGACCAGCCTTAAGCTATCTCGTCAGTCACCACTATTACACAATATTAAATCCATTTTAAGCGAATCCTTAACTTAGCGAATTCTAGTATTTATAATAACATAAATCCTTAACTTAATATTTTTATTGCTATACTATACAAGGTATTAGTCCTGGATGCCAAGATAATTATTTCCACGATTATGATTGTCAATGGTTAGATATTACCGATCTAATTCCAGGTGAATATACATTTCAATTGATTTTAAATCCAGATTTCTTAGTACCTGAAATTACATACGAGAACAATGCCATAGAATGTCGTCTATCTATAGGACATACAAATCATCATTATGCTGCATTATCAAAGTGTCGTTTAGTACATTCGTATGATTTGTGAAAATCCGTAACTGCACACGGTCACATACATAAACATATCAGTTGTACTTTGAAAAAACATCTAGTACCTCTGTAATACTTATATAAATTAGATACATCTATTATCATGTAATCACATCATAACATTATTTTATATGCAAAACATTGGATGATACATTATTAATTATGCATCATAAACATTTATATTTTCAGTAGACAATTAATAAAATCATATCAACTGCTATATTTCACTGTTTTCAACTAAATATATTCGGGATAGATATAAAATTTATGTGCAACATGTCTTCCATTCATATAACTTGTCTTCAGAAACCAACTTAATTTCAAAACGTCATCAACTTAAACTACTACTTAATAGACAAGGTTCAAACAAATCCTTATGTAAAAACATTAACTATACACAATTTACGACTACTTTACAATGAAAACCCTCCCCATTATCGATGTACAGGGATAGCCATTTTTATGATATACTGCTAAATATTATTCTGATGAAGTAGATGATTCTGTTATTAGCTTTCTTGTTTGCTTCTTCTCCATCATTTCACCGGAAGAAAAACTGAAAGCGAACTCATTGTTACAGGACCTGAATCTTAAATTAATAAACAACTTTCCCATCTGAGAAATTAAATTTAATCCACGTATATCTTTTTAAACACTATTCACATGAAGACTTCATGCCACCCCTAGAAACTATTTTTACTTTATATGCAAATTATATATTCTAGTCATCTTATTTCGTATACTCCTCCTGTAGCCCTTCTCGGGTTACTGCTGGTTCCAAGCCCATGTAAAGGAGAAGGGTTGGGCATAGGGTTAACAACCCCATCCCGTAGAAAACAACCTTGCTAAAACAACGCCAACCAGAATAAACAAATTAAACCATTTAAACTCTGCCCTGCGAGTTGAAGGAAAAATTATGACGCCTCATAATGAACGCCGAGATTCTTCGGAAGTCACCAGGTATATGCCCCTTCTAACAACCAGAACAACAATTTCTATAGGTACATGGATCGTCCGGATAATGTGGGAGAACAAGTCAATAGCAACGGAAATGAGGAGATACAAATTGACAGTACTCGGAATCAGCGAAACCCATTGGATACAAGCTGGATAACAAAGGCTAGGTACGGGAGAGACGCTGCTGTACTCCGGTCACGAAGGAGAAAATGCTTCACACACTAAGGGAGTTGCCCTGATGCTGTCCAGAAAAGTACGAAATGCACTTATAGGATGGGAATCTCACAGATCCAGAATCATCAAAGCATCCTTCGAAACAAGGAAAGAGGGAATCACGATGAATGTTATCCAATTTTATGCACCCACCAATGATAGCAACGATGACAATAAAGATCAGTTCTACGGGAGACTGCAATCAATTATAGCAAAGTGCCCAGAAAAAGGACTCGCCATCATGATGGGAGACCTAAACTCCAAAGTCGGAATGGACAACGACGGTTATGAAGATATGTAAAATTATGGTCTACTTTGTTATTAGTACTATTATAATAATAGAACAAGTGCAGGCAAACTGGAAAAAATATCTCATCAAGATACCAAAAGATCTAAGAAAATGTGAAAACTACAGAAGCATCACACTACTGTCAGTACCAGGAAAGGTTTTCAACAGAATGTAGAAGAACACGATGTGCCGAGAATTGGAAGTAGACATAAAAAGAATGAATAGCAACTGATTAGCATTGCCTAGGACAGAGTTGGATGGAGAATGCTGGTGAGCGGCCTGTACTCCTTCATGAGTGGTAACAGGCGTAATTAAGTTATTTGGTATAAATTTAACACACCATAAAACTTTATTATGGGTTAATTATTAAGTTGGCGGAAGTTAGCTTCACTGAAATGTTGATGAAATACTTCGATATCCCAAATCAATTGCCATCTACAAGTGTGCTATCAATGGGCAGTTGGATGTACCAATTGATAATATACTTTTGTGATCAAACTCAGACAGTAGATCCTGAAATAATGAAACTGACAATTCTTTGCGGAGACTTGTAGACCAACCATACATAAAAACACCCAATATTAACAGTTTTAATAAGACATAAAACATGTTAGAGCATCGTTCATTTTTGTGTTCACTGGAATTAAAGGCAATCTATTTCAATCATAAGTTAACGCGCTGCTCAGTTTGATTTTAGAAAAGGTTGCTTTATGAAGAGTATCACTCAAGCATTATATTTTTCATAAAAATCTTAGGTTTGAGCACTAATGTTGAATCCCAGTATTACACAGAATATGTCAATGTCCTGAAATACAGTTAAAAACTGCAAATAGAATCTGAAGTAGTCGAAGTATCTGTGACCACATTAATTATACAATACAATTGAGTACAGGTAAGTTAAAACATGAAGCGATTTAAGTTTGTCAATGTTATGCTATTGGTATCTAATATAATAAGTGACTAATTGAAATGTAAGGTTATTATAGGCAGTTATGAAGAGCGACGTATGGATCACAATCCATAAATGATTGAAAGGCATTGATGAATATAGAGTATATAACAATGATATTTTATTTCAGTACCAAGTAAAATAAGCACTCGAAAACAACATTCAGACTTAAAATAACATGATAGTTGAAAAGGAAATTTCAGTTTAAATCAATGATAATGAATACTGTGGAGAAATATAGATCTAGATAAAATGTGAGAAAAATTGATAAAAATAGACATTTTAGGCAAGATGAACTCAGTTATCATTTTATGATTATTATTTACATTGAGTGGAATTTACAGAAGAGTTAGTTTTGACTTCATTTTCTTCAACATCGAATTGTGACGATTTCCCTGTGGTATTTACACTTGATGACGAACTGAACGGTAAAGATTGTGAGGCGGCAGCCAGCTGAACTCTGCTTAAGGGCAATAAAGACGGATGACCAGTACCCGTACTCATTAGACCACCATACTTGTTGTGAAAAGACCTGTAAAAAGGTAGATCCAACTAAAGAATAATTAAATAATTACTGTATGCACAAAAGATATATTTTGTGTAAAAATGTAAAAATATGAACTTTGAAATAAATAATTATATTGCAAGATTATTGCCGCTTACATGGTCAAATTTATTTATTTCCTGACTTTCTACAGGAATATTTTTCACTATTGAACAAATCAGAAATGTTTTTCTGAACAATTTAACAAATCGTTATATACATATTTTTGCACAATGTGTGTTTTGAAGTGATTTAGTTCTTCATCTCCCACATAACACCATTTTTTTTTAAAAAAAACTGGATAAATTAATAATCCCGTAAACACGATTAGAACTGATTCACTGAATTTTTCTAAGTTAACAGTTCAAAATCTAACATCTCATGATCTCGAGATGATAGAAGATATAACCATATTTTAGAAAAAATGGAGTACGATCCTATGATAATATGAGAGCATTAAAACGTTATTCTCATATGCTACATTTAAGATGTATCATCAGTGGTTTTCTTCTATATCTATGCCAGCAGAATAATCTAACCTTAGTAACTATTTAGAATAGCTTACTTACCCCTGTAATAATGGTTGCTTTTCCGTTGAAACTCTTGAAGATGGATTAAATGGACGACAATGATCAACGGGCACAGGGTAGTTCACAGAGCCTTCAGAATCTATTTTACTGTATATCTTGGGAGATGAAAGCAAATTATGCAAACTGGATGCAGAATTTGCATTGGATGATAAACTTGGAACAGGAAACATTCGAGGTACATAACACGAAACTTGTGAATCTGGTCTAATCTCCCCCAATAATAAAAGGCTATTGCTAGTAGTATGTGCATTAGTATTTGTGTATGAATGTTTTGAGTGTGAGGTGTGGTAATTTTGAGCTTCGGATAATTCACGTGCGTCTTGTAAACGAATTAAACACAACGCTAGTGAGCCAAAGCATATACTGCTAACAAACCATATTACGACAACAATAACATCTGAAAACAAAATTTATGAATTTTTGACAAACAATTAGGAAATAATCGTTATTACACTAGTCATCATTACTGTCAGTATAATCCTTAAAACGACTATTATTGACGCTAAATAATGATCCTATGAATAGGTTATTGAGAAATTAGTTTTAAAATTAAGTCAAACTGCAAAAAAGCTTCACAGTCCACAACATAAACATGACCTTTGTAGGGTGGGTATCACCGACGATCTAAGTAATGAGTTTTATGTTGATATCTTTACAGTATACTTACAATAACCAACATTCCCGGCTACGTGGGACTGAGGTGAATAGATCCATTTATCCATCATTTAGACGACATAAAAACCAATTTACCTACATTGGTTTGAGTAGTGGTGTGATGTAGTTGTGAGCGGTCATTAACTAGTATTATTTAAGATGAATTACTCATAAAAGTTATTTGAGAAACAGCACAACAGAACAAGAGTTTCTCATTTATGCAAAATATATAAATAGTCGTAAATTCAGCAGAAACAATAAATAATCAGCTACAATTGAAATCAATCTAAATATACAAAAGTTTCAATTATTATGAGGCTAAAAAGTGGATCCAAATAAAGAAAGATTCTATTCTGCAACGTTAACTAACCTTCTAGAATAATGAACAGAAACTAAAGCAAAAGATACAATGGAAACGGTTATAAACCAATAAAATCATGCATATTCAGTTAACAATTCATATCATTTTGAAAATCCGTCAATGTAAAGACTATGTTTCACCAATAAGAAAAGTAAGCTAATAGTCTGGAAATTCAAATAATTCGTTATCAAGTTCCATCAACTTGCTTACATCTCCTTTTTTCAA